CGGTTCTCTTTGACTCCCAGCCTGCCTGGCCGTCACCGCGCTCAGCTCCCCTCCAGAGGAGCTCCCGCAGCCACTGGGAGACAAAAGGCTCCTCTTGCTTCTCCCTCCACGCTTCTGCTCTGGGTGCCAGGGCAAGAGCTGGCACAGCTGCTCACCCGCCTACGCCGAGAGGCCACCATCGTACTGACTTGTGAGGTAGAAAGAAGGCAATAGTCAGAGGCGTCCCTACCGCTCGTGCCTGGACGCTGCAGCGCTCGCAGAGGACTGCAGCTTCTCAAGGCCGGGCTTCCCACCAGCTTCTCCTGGGCCACGCCACCGCAGCCGACCCGAATCCGTCCCGTCCGGCGGGCGCGGGCGTCGCCTGCCTGCTCGTACTGGTGGCTGTCGGGAAGGGCGAACGCGGGACCGCGAGGAACTGGGAGCGGGGTCTGCCATCGGAAGACTCGTCAAGCGTGCGGGCTGGGGCTGCGCTCGGCGCGGCACAGGGGCGCACGTGCTCCGCGCCGCGCTCGGAGGCGTTTACCTGGCCAGGGCGGGCGGACGTCGGACTGGTCCCCTCCATCTCTGCTGCCTCTACAGCCTACTGAAGGTTTTGTTCCTTAAAAAGCAAGTTTCTGACCTTTTAGATTATTGTAAGCTCTCCCCACAGTCAGCTATCAGCATTAAATGGATTTTTGGCAGTTAAAAGGAAAAAAAAGTTGATTGCACTCTACGAAGGTAAGGTAAGGCCTGGGATAAACACAAAGGAAAGAGGGCAAACGTTTTGGCTTTAGAAAGTCAAGGAAATTTATTTCCTGAGGTCATGAGACAGGAAGTAGATTCCTAGCCACAGTAAAGGAGGTCTCCTAATGAAGGCGAGAATGCCTAGTAAGACATGCTCAAGAGAGCGGATCGCTCTGCTAGCGCTCGGGAAGCTGCGAATCTTAGCCACTTGGCGTCAATTATGAAGTTTCTAACAAAAACACACACTTTTAGTGTTTGAATCTGAGTGGAAGCCTCGTTCCAAAGGAGGAGAGAATATCCGTCAAGAGATGAGGGTGGGTCCTAGCCACGGTGATAGCTGAGGGGAGCAGGATGGGGTCGAGCACTCCAGACACCATTAGGAGACCTCTTGGGGCAATTGACTTGTGCTCCAGCCGCTGGGTCAGATTTCAGACAGGAAGTACTTGTGGCAGGTTAGTGTCAGGTCAGCGGGCTGGAGGAGATGTTTCGGCTTCCAGGTCATTATCGTTTGGGTCCCCAGGGAAGAGTCTTGGGGGCCACTTGAGCCCCAAAGCTGGGGAAGTCTTCCGAACTGCTCATATCAGGGGCCTAGAGCAAACAAAAAGGGAACAAGTTAAGCTCCTGCCCTGCTGCGGACCTGCGCGGTGCATCCCTGAGCTAAGCAGCGTTTCCGACGTCCCGTGAGCAGAGGCAACGGGCGAGGACTGAACCGGATCATGATGTCCTTCGGACTGCCCAGGGGGGATAGTTGAGAGGTGACACTTAGGAGGGTGCATATGGAAGCGGATGGCAGGCGGATCAAGGGCTCTGAGGGTCCGACCTCGGTAGCTCGGTCGCTGGAGCGGGGTCAGGCCAGTCCTGCAGCAACACCGGGGCAGCTGAGGACACTGCTGCCACACGTCCCAGCTCACTGCTCCCAGCCACAACACAGCTGCAAACATGGAGCTGGTTCTGTGCTGCAGCAGAAGAGTCACAAGTCCCAGGGCCTCATCCCTACCCCTAAAACCACCAGGACCTGACAGGACACTGCCTGGTAAGGGTCCCTCGTTCCCCACCAGCTCCACAGTGGGGGTATTCGGTGTTGGCAAGACGTTTGGAAGAAAGAGACAGCAGTGCTTTGGAAGTTGGAGAGGCAGAGCCCAGGCCTGCCCTCAGCCTGTACGGGCCACAAAGAGCAGGAGGGCCCTTCACCACTTTCTCTGCTACCCAGGGAGGAGAGTGCTCTGTTTCCCCAGCCAAAACAGGAGGGCCAGACCTCAGAGCAGGTCCTTGGCAGAGGGTGCCACACTCCCTGTGCCCCCCAGCCTATGGCAGAAGCAGCACTCACCTTTTCATTGTTGACAGTGGCCCAGGGGGCATCTCTCACCACAAAGCCCTTGGATGGGGCCTTGGACTCTTCGTGTGAAGAGGGCTTCATATACACCTGCATTGCCTCGTTGTCCACCACATCTGCAAGCTGCAGTGACACGGCCCAGTTAGGGTGGGGATCTTGATAGTTCCTCAAACTGGTGTAACACACCACCCTCCCAGATCTCACCATGCTGCAACCCACTCAAGGTCACCAGCCTGTTCTACAACGGCCAAACACAGTGTTTCTGCACTAGTTTGAGGGCCACCAACTCCTAACTGATGCACACTGCAGCAAGGCAAGCATGTGCACATCCTGGTGGTGTCCCAGCATTCTCATTCACTGTCCTCTCCTGGACGGTGGGGCCAGTCCTTGCATCGTTTCACAGAGCACAGCCTGGGGCTCTGCACCCAGTTGGTCTGAGGGACACTTGCAGATGAGGGCTGACTGCCACCTGCACAGGGCTTGAGTTGTCCAATGAGGTAGTAGAAAATACCACATGGAGGTACTTCAGACAACCAGCTCTGTGGCAGAGCAAATCCTTGCTAAGCCCCCGTACGGATTTGCTGAACACTTACATATTCCTCCTCCAAGTTCAGGATGTGATCAATAGCTTCTTCCACGTTCTCAGGGAGTCCTGTCACAGTCACACAGTTGGGGTCAGGAGCTCCACTCTGGGGAAAGCGAATATCCACCTGCAACGCAAGGAAGAGGTCAGGACTCACATCTGCACACCTGAGAAGCCCCAGACTCCCCATGACCCTCGTCATTAGATTCACAGAAGAGAAAAGCCCCGATGTGTTCACTGCTGCAAGTCTGTTCAGGAGCTCCAGTTCAGGTGCTGGGGGGTGCACTGGGATATACCCAGCCCTGAAGCCTGTCAGCTGACTTTGCCACATCTGGAGCCCCAAGAGTGTGTCAAGACTCCCAATATCAAGGCAATCAACAGTGGCCTAGAGAGACAAATAAATCCAGACAGATCCTCTGGATCTCTCATCTAGGCTCAAACTGAGGGGGTCTGGGCACAGTCTCCTCCCAGAGCCCCCCAGCAACAGGCCTGGCTGCCCATTCCCAGTAATCAGAGTAGCTGACGTAACCACGTCCTTCCTTTGAAGACACGTGGGACCCTGTCTGCGAGAAACCCACTACAAGGTTGCAGAGAGGGACAGAGCTCAGTGCCGTTTGCAGGGCTGACCCAGAGCACCAAGGAAGCATTTCCAGGTTCCTCCTCTGGCTGTGCTCCAGCAAGAGCTCAGCCTCCTGCCTTCCTGGCTCCCAGAAGAAGGGTAACACACAGCTGAGGGTGCGTGGGGATGCTTCAGCTGGTGTCAGGGTGTGGTGCCCAGGGTGCCCTGGCCCAGGGATTCTGCTCACGTGCTTGTGGTGACAGAGCTGGAGGTGAGCAGGACAGCACTGGCTTTTCTTCCACACCTGTTCCAGCTGAAGGTGCTCAACAAGCACAAGACACGAGGACCACAAGATGTGAGCCTCACACTCCTGAATTTGGCTCCTAGCTCCAAGCTGATGCCAAGCTCTTAGCACAGGAAAAAGTGGCACCACTGGCCACCCGGGCCCAGCCCTGTGCTGCATCACGTCACTGCTCACCTTGAACTCATCCATGATTTTGCGGATGGCTTTACCACGTGCACCAATGATCCGTGCGTGAACACGATGGTCCAGAGTCACATCCTCAGAGACCATCTGCTCCAGCTCGCCAACAATCTTCATGATGGCATCCCGGGCAGCCTCGGCGTTCTTCTCATACCCAGTGATGGTGATCTGGTCTTGAGCCTGGGGCACAGGGAAACGAGTGAGAGACCAGGTTCATCAGCAGCTGAGTCAGCCTTCTCCCTGCTAATCTCTTCTACTCTCCATCTTATCCAAAGGCAGCGCAGGGAGTTCAGAGCCCTACAGAAGACGTTGTGCTTCCTATGCTCAGAGACAACCAGCAGCTCTCCTTGCAGCCCCTCTGACCTCTCACCTGGCTTTCATCATCCTTGTCGGGGAACTGGATGTTGACCTCATGCTCTGTGCGTATCTGGGTGATCACTGCTCCTTTCCGCCCAATGATTTTAGGGTGATACTTGGGATCCACAGTGACTGTCAGCTTGAAGCTTCGCAAGGCCTGGAACAGGAGAAGCAGAGTGAGATACAACAGCGGGGAACACACCATGGCTGGTCCAGTGATGTCCATCTAAGTCTCAGCATTTCCTTCCGGCTTCCAAGATGCAAGGAACAGATTCTGCAGGGTCATGTCTGAGTGTACGTGGCTACAGAAGAGCACCCAAGACAATCAT